CCGATGGTTCGAAAATGGAAGAAGGGGTAGGCGCGGGTGTATATGGACCCGGTTGTAGGCTATTTGAAGCCTTAGGTCACTCCCCCACTATCTTCCAAGCTGAAATACATGCCATCAACCTTTGCGCTCAAAGGTGCCTGAGCAAAGGTCTGAGGGGTGCCAACATTTATATCTGCTCAGACAGCCAAGCCGCACTAAAAGCCCTAAAATCATTCGTTTTCACATCAAAGATCACATGGGACTGCTTTGAAACACTCATGCAACTGGGAAAGGGCAACAAAGTCACACTTATGTGGGTTCCAGGGCATGAAGGAATCAAAGGAAATGAGGCAGCTGATCGCCTTGCAAAAAAAGGTGCAGCATCTGCACTTTTTGGTCCTGAGCCTTTTTGTGGGATAAGCAAATGTCACCTAAAGGGAGAACTCGGGAAATGGGAAGAAATTGGAAAGTCCTCCTAATGGAGAGCATCTCCAGGTCAACGACAAGCGAAAAGGTTCATCAACCATTCGCAGAACCGAGTCGAAGAGCTACTCAGCCTCAGAAAACCAGAGCTAAAGCTTATCACAGGCTTTCTCACAGGACACGACCCTCTGAGATACCACATCAAAAAGATGGGTCTGGCGGAGACTGACACTTGCCGCTTTTGTAACAATGCGACCGAAACCGCGGAACACATACTCTGCTCATGTGAAGTATTAGTCCGCCAAAGGCTGAACCACCTATAACAGGTCTATCTCACCCCTGATGAAGTGGAAAAGTCAACCGTCAGAAAAATCGTAGGCTTCATCAGAAGTCTAGGGTTAGAGGACCAAAACTAGATAGGGGTAATCACGAGGTCTCTCAGCCTATACGACCCATCTACAATCTACAATCTCATCTCTACCGTGGCCCCAGTTGCACAAAATTTTGGCCCCATGAAGCCAATATATCTTGCCAAGATTCGTGGTACTTGACCTCATTATGCTTTCTTGGCGCCGATATACCTATGAGATCCGTGGAATTGAAATGCAGTCGAATAAAGAAATATACAAATTGAATTATTCATGATGACAAAAGTGTCATATTGATTCTCGTATGAAGTTTTTCTTTCTCAAACAGTTGTTGTACTCAGTTTGGCTGATTTTGAGGGGATCAAATTGTTGCAGAGCTCAATTTTTCGAGAGATCGTTTGAATATAATAATTCATTCTTCACTTTTGCTATACCGACCCAGAATTTCAAAGACTTGGAGGACAAAAGGAAAACCGTGTGTACGCCTTGACTGCATAATATCGAATATATATGATATTGAATAGAGAAAAATGCCTTTGTTAAATGCACAAATACCACATCAAAGAGATGGATAAATGAAGTGAAACATTGACTTCTACAAAATCCTAATGATAGAATCTCAATATCAACGAAGAAGAAGTCTAATAGCGTTGAGAATATTTCAAACCATTATTTTGTAACATGAAAAGTCATCTCCACAACTTTTATTCAATCGATCAGAGTCACCTAGCAACACTAGCTTTTTGTTCTGTTTAACATTATCAAAATAAATCTTGGTTTTCAGTAGGTATGTAAGTGAATTAATACATGATGTATGGATGTTATTGTGGTCTCCCTAGCATTTTGCTCACTCCAGACTCCAGATACAGCCCAGCAAACAGTTACATCACAGAGATATTGCAGCGCTGTAATAATTGTGACCTGTAATATCGCATTCTATGCCGCATAGACGTCGATGCGTTGTCAGAGGGATGTTATTTTGTCCCACTCAAGTTCCATCCATGCGATGTCGCAGCTATATATTTTTCGCAATGTGATTGCGATATGTTATAAAGCGATATGTTTTCAAGATGAAACCACGATGTGATGCGAGATGACATCGCAGTTAAACGAAAAAAGAAGTGTCTAAAAAATGGTGTGATAATAGGTACACTACTAACTTCTGAAGCATCTAATACTGATTATGTGTTGTTGTGCCTGATTGGTGGTCCTTCAGGTCTGCTGTTAATTAAATCGTATCATTTCAGCGGCGTTATCCTTGGTACCTACGATTCTTTCACAATAAGATCGGTTACTCGTATTTGTATAAAAAATTATGTAGTGTGTCTCGGCGAGATGTGAGCAAACCAAGGATATTTTGATAGCAATGTAACGAATGTTTGCGGATTTAGCTTCACTTTGTTGAGTAACGTATATTCATGTATTCTTTTTCACCGAAGAAGAATCAAAATTTCAAATTTTTGAAAAATTCACGCAGATGAACTTTCTTCTGTATTGCTTTTTGTACATCGCAGCGATGAAACACCCGTATATCGCAGTGTCGCCTCATTTCGACATCTCAGAGATGTCATGTCGCAGATGTGTTCGCTTCTGTACATCGCAGCGATGAAACATTCGTAATATCGCAATGTTGCCTCATCGCGACATCTCAGAGACGTCATGTCGCAGATGTGTTTGCTATTGTTCATGTCGCAGGTATAATTTCTTATGGACATCGCAGCGATGGAACGTTTGTGATATCCCAATGTTACCTGAACGCGACATCTCAGAGATGTCATGTCACAGATGTGTTGGCTGGAAATTAGTTTCATATTCACCTTCTATCACTTTTGATTATTCAAGACTTCTTGAACATGTCACAAAAAATAGAGAACTGAACAGTTCGACAGGTATTTACAATAGTTGTTATATTGATGAATCAAGATTTAGGACCAATTCCTAGTTCAAACCTTCTCATCTTCTTGACCCCTCTTTCAGTTCTACTGAGGATGACATCATATAGTGACCGAAAGACTTTTTTGAATATGGTGGAGATTTGTACTAGCTGCATATTCACGTAACTGATGTTAATATATTATTTTGGATACATGTCGAATTGAATGTGATTAAACTTAAGTAAAGTATTTATTCCTCTGCAATTAGTGTTATCATTCTCCTGGATTCCATCGTCGTGAAAATGATGGATATAAGTAGATGGTGCGCGTAGTCGGCCATTTTAACTCATGGAAAAATCACTCGACCGCTTACTATAATAATTTCTCTACGTGATGCTGCTATTGCTGCTGTGACGTGTGACTAGTGAAAATAAATTGGCAAATGGCATTTCAGGTTCGCGGAACATACAGTGTGACCCACTTCTAATGGAAACACCCCCTGTATCTTACATAATCGTTGGGTAAGGATCCTGAAATTTGCTGGAGCAAAAGTTACACCAAAAATACACTCTATAACTGAGTGGGGTCATCTTCAGTGATATACACTGCTCGCCAACAGCCATGGAACCACCTCAATGTCCGGAAAATGATATTAGGAGTCAAAATAGGTTGAAAAACACTTGGGATTCGGAATCAGGACGACCAATTCAGTAACTACTCATAGTTTTCCTTCAGTTCAGAGAAATTTAATTTTGTTTCACTTCTCATGGAAGAACCCCCGTATCTCACGTAATTATTGAGGTAGGGTTCTGAAATTTGCAGGGGAGAGGGAAAGTCCAAAGATAAAGTCAATTTTACGTAAGATACAGGGGTGCTTCCGTAGAAAGTGCGACAAAATTTAATTTTTCAGAAATGAGAATTCTCAAGGAGAAATATGAATAGTTAGTGAATTGGGCGTTCTGATTTCGAAACTGAAATGATTTTCAACCGATTTTGACTCCTAATATCATTTTCCGGAAATCGGAGTGGTCCATGGCTGTTGGCGAGCAGTGTATATCACTGAGGATGACCCCACTTGGTCATAGAGTGCATTTTTGGTATATCTCTCGCTCCAGCAAAATTCAGGATCCTCACCCAACGATTACGTAAAATACAGGGGTATTTCCATTTGAAGTGGGTCACACTGTATGCAAAGTGTGTTTATTTCACCCAAAATTCGAAAAATCAGCGGCAATTTCAAAATTGACAGATGTAATGATTGTGAAATCTCGCCATCTATTAGAAATTCGCCAAAACCATTGTTCTCGAGAGGTCGAGAAATATTTCTGAAACAAAAGCGCATCAGTAATCACACCATCCCTAATAACACAATAACATCTGTAAGACGTCGTAGAAACATCCATATGGAATGATTGGAACATCTCTGGAAAATCCCTATTGTCCTTGGGACATTCTTGGGATGTTGCAGGCAACACCCGTGTCAGCATTTGCGATGTCTTATAAACATCCCATCAGAATGTTTGTGGGATGATACGGGATTTACCAGAGACAGGTACTTGATATGGAACATCTTAAAGAAACTTTTATATAGGATGTTTTTTGTTTGATGACAGTAATGGATGACACGGTATGAATTATTTTCAATCTGAAATCCTGAAAATGGCCGACCTATTTCCAGATATCAAGTAACAATCCGAATCCGAAAATATATAAGATCGGTGCGGTCCAATAACTAATGGAAGATGATAACAGTTGTTTGAGGCTCATATTTGTTGGCGCTGGGCCGACGGCTGTTAGTAACTCTTAACAACGTAGTTGTACCGCCATCTATCTGCTGGTATAACAAATAAATACAGCAATAAATATGCTGAAGAGATATATTTTGATTTTGTCGTTTATTACATGTTCAGGTACTTTGGTAATCTTATTGAGGACTATTTAGTAAAATTATTTCGATTTGTTGTCGATGAAATTAGCCGTCTTTGGTATAGGTATGAGCTCGGGTATAAGTATATATGTACGAATACAGTTTTGATTTTCATTTTTCATCAATTTTTCAATGTTTCAAATGTCACAATTGTTTGAACTGTTCAATCATGTCAATCATCATTAGCAGATATGGAACCATGATATTGTTAATAAAAAAAGATCAAATGGGATGTTTCTAGAACATCCAATGAAAACATCTGATGGATGTCCCAAGAGAAACATCTCTGGGATATCGTACCTAAGTCTGAAACATTGGGACATTTGTAGGACCTTAGCGGGATGTACCAGCAAGATCCCGTGTTGTTAGGGATCTACCTATTTCCATCATTGTCGTGAATAACAGAAATCACTGAAATCAAAAACATACCTGAATCAGCTCTCCGAGCGTTCCCCCTCCCGCCGTGAAATTCAAGAAACAAACAAAGGGCACGTGTGCGGGTCGCTTCACCTCGAGCTCGTATGTGACGCCGACGCTCCCCATGTATGTCATGTTGCAGGCTGAAACAAAGGAGATGTCAGCTTGTCAGCTGCTAAATAACTGATGCGATGGCGATGCGATTGATAATGAAAGGAATACGAGCCAGATTCGTGGAATTGAAAAGCTTGCCTTGTCATTGTTGTCGCTATACTGTACAGAAAAGTGAAATTTTTGTTTAGGTGATCCAACTTAGGTTAAAATCAATATGGCGCCGAGTCCGCTTCATTAGGAGAGTTTTCGATTGCCGACCGACCGCGATCAAATGGACCACACTTCGACCACAGGGTTTTTGATTGATGACCACATATTGACCGAACTTTAAATGATAACATTTTTCATTGAAGATCAAGGCCGATCCCAGACCACTTTGCCCGGGCACGTATTTCGAAAAGCCTACTCAATTGGACACCAAGATGTATTAAGGAAGGAATCTCGAAGGAATCATTTCTGTATTGAAGAAGGTACTACTAGACCTAACTCTCACTAAAGTAACCTTTGCCCTAAACATGTTATTTTTCGAAAAATTAGTAGAGTGAAAAAAAAATGAAAAAAGTTGACGCCCGCAGGGTTTGAACCACAGTCACCGCCGTGGTTGGCAGATACGCAGTCCACCGAGCTATCGGGTTACTCGAAAGTTTTCATTATGAAGACAGAAGAAATATCGTTTGTTTCTTGTCGAAATAGGGACGGGTTCATCCGCATCTCATCCACAAATTCCTCATGAAAAGCGTACCTGGTCCTACAGAGCGATGACGTCACTCAAACTGCTTATATTTCAACAAGAAATAGCAATCCATCTCTTTTTTTTTTTTTTTTTTTCGGTAGCTTCATCCAATTATATTTGAGTTGTAATTTGAAATATTCTAGTTCCTCATATATAAATTCATTATACGCAAAATCTATGAAAGATCCAATTACAAATATGATTTTATCCTCATGTTTTTTATCAATTTTGAATTCTGGCGAGATAAAATCTTTCAAACTCATTATTTTTCCACATATACGTTCAATTTCATTTTGTACATATCTGAATACTTCAAGCAAGTTTTTGTTACATTGGATTTTGTGTTCAGCTGTGTCTCTATTTCCGCATATCAGACAATTTGCTGTAGGGCTTTTTTTGATTTTGTAGAGGAACTCCTTCGTTATAATGCATTCATGTACGACCATGTACCAGATTGATTTTTGATCAGAATTCAAAATTCCATTGTTTACATTATTCCAGACATTAATCCAATTTGTATTTTGTCGTTTCTGTATAATATGTGGCTTGTGATTTTTGTTTTCAATCATATATTCGTACACGATTTTCATTTTCTGTTTTTCTTGTGATGTTAACAAATCTATATTCAGTGGATGATTCACTTGAGTGTATTCTTTCTGATATACCTATACATATACAGTTCAAAATTATTATTTCCTTCAACAAAATCTGTCTCGAAGTATTTGATGATTCATATGGATGATTCGTAATATATCTGGTTTTTAGGATGCCAGGTAATGTGTTATTTTCGGTATATCATGATTTGATCAGTAAAGTTTGCGGTTCAAATGGTTTTTGTATACAAGCGATCTGTCGAAACTATTCGTATTTGTCATTGTGATTATGCATGTAATACTAACGACCAGTCGGACAAGCCGGCCGTCAACAATAAGCTATCTACCATTTAATTAATAGAATAATATATTATATGACCGTAGCGATTGAATAAATAATTCTTTTTCTGATTTTTTGTGACTATAAGTGTAATACTTCTGATACGAACAAAGCAGATGTCAGCTTGTCAGCTGCTTACTGACTGATGCGATGGCGATGCGACCAATAATGAAATACGAACCAGATTCGTGGAATGGAAAAGCTTGCTCACTGAACTCTCGGCCTTGTCATTGTCTTCGCTTCTGTTCAGAAAAGTATCATCTCCAATTAGGTGATCCAACTCAAGTTAGGATCAATATGGTGCCGGGTCGGCTTCATGTATAATCAATAGAATGATACGATCGCAGCGATTGAAAACTTGTTTCTTCTCCTGATTTCCTGTGACTATTAGTGGTTTTCACTAAAAAAGCGCCCAAGTATTAAAGAGAGAAATAAACGTCATCCTAGTCCTAGTTGTGTGAAACTGGCTCAGCCAACGCTTCGTATTTTGAGAACCCGTGACAATTTTACTGTCAACATTTGGTGAACAACCATTCCCGATAGCCCGTTTTACGCAAAATGGATGACGGTAATTTCGCTTTCTAATATACTCGTACGCTAGTTGATAATGACTGTACTGTTGATACTATAGTGGGCTAATAGTTATGATATTGCCTGGTCACTGATCTGGCTGCCTTGTCATTGTCGTTGCTACTGTACAAAAAAATGTCATATTGAGGTGATCCAAGTTAGGTTAGAATGAATATGGCGCCGGGTCGGCTTCATATACAAATAAATAGAATGATACGACCGTAGCGATTGAACAATTGTTTCTTCTCACGATTTCCAGTGACTATTAGAGGTATACATTGGTATTCAATGAGGAAACGTATCTACAAGTCCTGAAAAAATAGGTTTACGTCGTCATAGTTCTATTTGTATTGAACTGAATCAGCCAAATGCTTTGTGTATTTGAGAACCTTTACAACTCTACTGTCAATATTTGGTAAACTATTATTCCCGATAGCCCGTTTTAGGCAAATTGGATGACGTTAATTTCGCTGTCTCATAGATTTGTACGCTTTTTTTTTAATACGACTGTACTTCTGATACGAACAAATGAGATGTCAGTTTCTTGGCTGCTAATTAACTGATGCGATGGCGATGCGACGGATAACGGGATACGAGCCAGATTCATGGAATATAAAAGCTGCCCTGTCATTGTCGTCGCTATACTGTACAAAAAAGTGTCTTTTTCAATTAGGTGATTCAACTTAGGGAATTTCAGTTTTGGAGTGATTCTTTCCTCGGTTCTACTCAGATGGCGTTACTTTCATTTTATCGATGAAAGACGCCTCGGGGTGGATGTAATGCCAACTTGATTTTTGTTTGGCTAGGCTTCGCTGAGTCGGCGGTCTAAGGACTGCTGGCTGGAGACTACACTGCACTGATGAGAGTCAAAGAGTTCGAAACCGGTCTGTGGTTGTCAAGCGGCCTGGCTTAATCAAAATCAATACGCATACAGGAAAGAATCACTTGTATCAGTATTCGTTTAAACGAGTCGATGCATAGATTTCGGGAGGATGTAAATCAATATCCTGCGTGGCATTAGCCAGGGGAAGTAGTTGTTTTTCTCCCGAAATCTACCATTGTTGTTCATTTTATGAACACTGTGTGGAAATGACTTTCAGCTTTTTACATTTATTCAACTCAGGTTAGATTGAATATGGCGTCAAGTTGGCTTCATATATACACTGTTTCCAAGATAATGAGGGCAAGTATGGGCATCTCAGATATACAGATTTGACTGAATATGAGAAAAGTTGCACGAGTAAAAGACCAACAAAAAGACTTTCAAAAATCTCTGATATGACTTCTTATTTTCGAGTAATTGAAGACCTTGGGGCAACGAGGATATATAAGCCTCAAGATGTTACTTTCGAGAAAATCGTCTTTGAATGTTTTATTCGAATCCACAAATCCAATTTTTTCAATTGAATGAATAGGTTCCGAATAATGTTGAAGTATATTGTGAACAATGTATCAAACGAAAAATTCACAGTATAAACCTCGCACTTGGAGAAGAAATTGCAAAAATGTTGGAATAAACTGGCTTGCACCTTTTTCCCCTCGAAGAAAACATGAGGGTTTCATTTAGAGGTTTCTTCAATTTTTATTTCGAGTGGTTACTAAACATGGCAAGGTCTGTCTGGTTTTGTTTGATAAAGAGAAATATCCGAATATTGATAAAATGTTGTTTGTCTCCATCTTGAAGGAATCTTGTTTTTTGTAGTCGACAATGGTTAGATATTCCATCGACCTTACGCAGCAATTTGATTCGGTAGGAACTGTTGAACATCTCCTTTGGGCTCGGTGCGTTCTATTGAATGAAATACGAATTATTCTTGAGCTATAATGGTACACTCGTCCATGAAAATATCTATGAAATAGAGCCAGATCGCCAACTTTTTTACGGTGTTCCAGAGAAGTGAGTGAGTTTGTGAGCGAGGCATCATCCAAGAGAGGAATCGCCCTATTTTGGACCGAATCCAAGAGTTTCAGGGTATGTTTGGGTGCTGCATTCCAAATATGAGAACAATATTCCAGGACAGCTCGGATATGTGCCTTATAGATCATAAGCAACTGACTGAAAGTGAAATAGCTCCTGGCTCGAAACAGAAAACGAAGATTTTAGGATGCTCTTCTAGCAATTGATCTCACGTGATTTTCCCAATTGAGATTATTGCTGATAGTAATACCAAGCACCGAAATGGATGTCTTCAAAGGTATGGTTACTCCTGACAAGCTTATGTTGGGTACAGTGAGATCGGCTTTCCTAGAGAAAAGGCATGCTTGTGTTTTGTTTGCATTGGAATCTTCCTACCAAGTTATTGGGTCCCCATTCGAAAATTGTTGCCAAGTCCATATTTATGTTGTCAACATGTCTTTCTCGTTTCTTCCTGATTTGCCTGGCCGGTATTGGAGCCCTGGAAGAGAAGGCGTTATGAAGGGTACTATCATCCGCGAAGCTATGTAATGGACATGCAGGTTTTTCCAACAAATCGTTGATATGGAGTAGAAATAGTTTTGATGCTGGAGTTAATCCTTGCGGAACACCAGCATTTATGATAAGAGAGTCAGATGAGACTCCGTCGACCACTACATGGAAGGAGATTCAATACACAAGGAGTGTTCAATCGAGCTGCTGACCAGTCAGGTTCCAATCACTATCTCGCATTATTGTGACGTCAGTGGACATATCATGTTTTCTCTTGATCATATGCCCCGAAGGGTAGGAGGATCATCAAGTCCTCAGAGCCATCTAGAGGCAAAAGTGCAAAAATGTATTAGTAGATTGTTCAAACAACCATACCTTACGAGTAC